ATAAAACTTATTAAGATCATTATTAGGATTTTAAACAAAGATTTATTATATATATTTTTTTTCGATCAATGTATCCTTGTTCATTCATTCACTATCATTTTATTTTGATTAATTATTATTATAAACCTATTCTATCGATCCACTTTTTTTCCATTGTAAAAAAAAAAAAAAGAAATTTCATAAAGTTATTGTTAATATAATTTCCGATTTTGTTTCATAGGCTCGTGGACCGAAAAAACATTTGAAACGGCTTAATGCCCCAAGTCATTGGATGTTGGATAAACTTACGGGTACTTATGTATGTGATATAATTTATTAAAAATTTCTTCGTGAACATAATATTGGACTTTTTAAATAATGAAACAATAAATGAAAAGGCTCCAAGACCATCAGCTGGACCCCATAAGCTTCGTGAATGTTTACCTCTTGTTATTTTCTTGAGAAACCGTCTTAAATATGCCCTCACCAAAAAGGAAGTACAAAGCATTTTAATGCAACGCCTCGTAAAGGTAGACGGTAAAGTCCGTACTGATACCACTTACCCTGCCGGATTTATGGGTATAATTTATTATTTTTTTTAAAAATAATACTGATATTTAAAATCTTCAATTCTAATTAATTTTGATTTTAATTTATGAATATAAAAGATGTTATAACCATAGAAAAAACCGGTGAAAACTTCCGTCTTATTTATGATACTAAGGGTCGGTTCACTATCCATAAAATAACTGCTGATGAGGCTACTTATAAATTGGCCAAGGTTAAAAAGGTTCAGTTTGGTGCTAAAGGAATCCCATATCTTGTAACCCATGATGGCCGTACAATCCGTTATCCTGATCCTATTATCAAAGTTAATGATACTGTTAGACTTGATTTAGAAACTGGCAAGATCATTGAGCATATCAAATTCGAGGGTAAGTTACATATAACATACATAATTACTTTATAAATTAAATACACTAATTTATTAAAAAAACTTTTAGTCGGAAACGTTGCTATGATCACGGGTGGTCGTAACATGGTAAAATGAATGAATGATATGCGTGTAAATTTATTACATTTTATATCAATTCTCATATATTTTTAAAAAAAAATAGGGACGTGTTGGAATAGTAACTCATCGTGAACGACATATTGGAGGTTTCGGTATGCAGTTTTTAATAGTTTACAATATTGTAAATTTTATACATTATTAATGATTTATCATCATTATTAGACATTATCCATGTTAAGGATGCCATGGATAGGCAATTCGCTACACGGCTAACTAATGTCTTTATTATTGGTGAGGGTAACAAGCCTTCGATCTCATTGCCAAAGGGTAAAGGTGTCAAACTGACTATCTCTGAAGAACGTGACAGGTCAGTATTTGATGAAATAAATCAAAAAGGATAATAATTCTTATGCTCACTTTTTTTTTTTAAAAAAAAATATATATATAGGCGTCGAGCTAGAGCCGCTCATCAGTAGGGTCGGTCCGAACCTTTGTGAATTATGACTGCATAATTTGAAAATTGGGGTATCTACTTCATTTGGGATAACCAAAACCCAAGTACTTATCCCATTTTCGGCCATAGCGTTAAACACAAAAAAAACCCCAATCAAATTTGTTAAATCAATGCTATAAATTATTAAACTTCAGAAATTAAGAACCTGAGAGTGATTTGGCTACTAGGCAGGATATGTTGAATAAAAATGATATTAGATTTAATAATTATATTGAATATGTAACCAATTAGTGAAAAATAATTATAAAAGTGAAAGCTTTTCACATTCAAAATAAAATTTCGAATCAAATAATGATACCTTTAATAAAAATCGCTACCTTATCAGCTACAGTACATAGTCCTCCATCCTCTATGGTTGAAACCGTAATTTTGAATAAATGAAAATTACCTGTGATGAGGGTTGAGGGCACAAGCGTGATACCAATATTGTTTCTAATTATTTTCGTATGATTATTTAACATCACATCTCGTACTTTCACATGCCCTATTACCCAATGCCCAAGTTTTTGAACTCATAAGGGAGATCCCCAAAACTCCAGGTCGGAGCCCAGGTCGGGTGGGCCGGAGTTGATCGATTTTGTCCAAGATCATTAAAAATTTTA